CCTGGCACCAGAAAACGGTATCGTCATCGGTATATGATAAGCAGCGCACTTGATATCCAACGGTGACCCAAAACAGCAACATTTTTTAGTTTGACCTGACCTGGAAGGTCAATGACTGATCTGAGAAGGTAAAACTGGGTATCATTGGATTCGTCTCTTCCCAAAGAATTTTTTTGGTCTTTACCGCGAAGCTCTATCTCCAACAGGAACGAAATGGCGCGGGGGGGGGTGGCAACCCCCCCCCCCCATGTGCGTTCTAGGATGGGAAAATGGCATGTGCGGGCGAGGGTTAAGCATTTGGACAGTACAAGCTGCACAGGTGTAAACCTAACAGCACCACCGCACAACCGTGTCAAATATTCTTGATTCACATGTATTTTTTTCGTATGAGCTATTTATGTGGATGCTATAACTCCAGTTGCTATGTAACCCCTCTATACCCGCGTATTCTTATCTCAACTGGCGCATCCTTTGATCCTGGGTTCCCTTGCCTTGACTATCCTTAGGGCTGGCAGGCTTGGTGAACCCTACCAGGTGAGAATACCAGGTGAGAACACCCACGTTCCGTTGGTGACAATCACGCACTGGCGGCTTCATAATTCTCAGTTTCCGAGTCAAGGCCCGCAGCTGGTTTCTGCAACGAGCATATCTAGCGAAGTCGAGGATGTCTCGAGACTGAGAGTAGGTTGCCCAGAGTCTCTCTTTCTTCTTTTCTGTCTCAGAGCTTGACCATTGATGTAGATGTCTTTCCGGTTGCTTTTCCTCTTGCTTTTAGGGAAACAATCATGTGCGCGTGTGTGTATGTAATTCGTCATAAACTGGTACTTTTCCTCGATTGTTAGAGGTTCTGTAATCTGTTGGGCCCCAGTCAGCATCCTGAATCATTTTGACAATTTTTTGCGGGTTCCCCTTGAAGTAGTTTGGGTGACCTGTCGGGAGAGCTTGTTGGCGAGTGTAGCAAAGCAGGTCAAACCGTAGTATGACATGGTCACTTTTACCAAGGCCAGCTTCGTGTTTGATATCTCGTACCATCCCATCCTCGTTGGTTATAATCAGATCCAGTATGTTGGGAGTCTCGCCCGGTCGGAAACGGGTAGGTTGGGAGACCTGCTGTCTCAGTAAACAGTCATCCAAAGCCTCGAGAAACCTACGCGAGATTTCCAGAGACGGGGCTGAGGAGAAGCCATCCTCCCAGTTGATTTGGGGCATGTTGAAGTCGCCCTCTATAAGTACATGAGAGTGATCCGATGCCAGAGTAGTATGCAGGAGGTGACATAGTTCATCAGCTCCAACGTCTGTATTTTGGGAGGGGCTTCTGTACACACAGCCTCTGCCTATCAGAAGTTTATCATCCTTTTCAGGGTTTCGGAGTCATGGTAGTGCTCTTCCGACTCCGACTCCGGGCTCCTGACCGACTCCGACTCCGACTCCGACTCCGGGTCTGATACAAAGGGCAATGGTGGCTACTGGCTGCCAAAATTCCACGTGATATGACGCGCCATGTTAGGTCTACAGGGTGTCCGGAAAGTCCTGGCGCTTTTCAACATTTTTAAAATAAATGCCTTTGGTCCATAGATGCTCAACAATAGAACAAAACGATGACCAGGAACACCAAGCCACATGCTTCTGCTAAGTGCCCATTCATTGTAACCACCGTCTGTGCCGACGACGGCCTCGACGCAAGGGCGGAAACGCCTGCGGGTTTTGACGATGCAGGACATTTCCTGTCCTCCCATGCTGTCATGATGCGAGTCTTCAGCGACTTCAGGCTGGGATGAGAGGTGGCCTAGAGCTTATTCTGCAAAACGCGTAGCATGCCTTAGTCGAGCGGGTTAAGGCTGGGATAATAAGGTGGCCTAATCTCATTTCACCACGGTGATCTGGTCCGCCGAGCTCCTCTGTCAGTTTGGTTTGGACGGCAGCGGCGTTGTTGGAGGGCGCTCCGTGCTGTTGAAGTGCGAAATGACCCTTAGGGCAAGTCGCCTTGATTGTCGTTTCCAGGAACCCCTCGTGGACCAGCCTGTCAGTCATTTATTTGACCTTGACGAAGATGATGGAACATTTGTGTCCATCAGACCCCATATTTTCTTCGATTGCCGCTGAAATACTGCTTCAGTCTCAGCAGCTTTGGCATACCGTGGTCGTAACTGATTGAGAATATTTTTAAAGAAATTTCCGATCCGGAATGCACCTTTGCTGCACCCCTAGCTGAGCGGTGAACGAGGGGGGGGGGGGTCATATCTGCGGTGATTGGTTGAGTTGAAAGATCACAGCGCGCGTTAGACGACGTCCAAAAGAGGCGCCAGAACTTTCCGGACACCCTGTTCGCGCACCGGGAGATCGCTCCGGTTTCGTTCATGCGGTCACCATTTCTCCCACGTGGACGCAGCTGAATCCAGAGACCAGCGGCCGGCGGCCAGCTTGAAAACCCGCCGAGAAGCGCGAGTGTGGCCGTATCATGACCACGGGCATCGCCATCATATCGGTCTGTGTTTGTGTTAGGCACTTAGTCGGGGCACTTTTTGGAGCGATAAAAGAAGAAAGTAAATATACATACAGTTGTTATTAAGTCTTTGACACTGGATAGTAGAAGTTATAACGCGAATACAAAATGATTGTCTACTAAATTATGACATAACTTACAAATTTGTAAGATGCAATGCTAGCTTTTCAAAACAAAAACAAGATGTGTGAAAAAATAACGTATTTGTAATCACCGGAAGCGAATTTTGCCGTGGTGCCCCTGGTTAAAAACAACTGAAAAGTGATAGCACGAATTTTAGACTTCAGTTAACTTTCTGGAGTCGGAGTCGAGGCAGCTGGACCGACTCCGACTCCGACTCCGACTCCTGGCTGCTTGCCACGACTCCGGGCGACTCCGACTCCGACTCCGACTCCGAAACCCTGATCCTTTTCCAAAGGAATTAGTACCCACAGCTGTTCAATGTAGGACGTTGAGCAGAGTGCCACCTCTGTGGCTTGGAGAGAAGACTTGATGTATATGCTAACACCTCTGTATTTCATGGCGCTATTCTATTTCATGGCGAAAACTCAAAAGGCTACCAAAGACAAGCTTGATGACGCGGAAGGCAAAAATTAGGTTGCTGGGGCGGGACAGGAACGAAAATTGTCATGACATGAATAAATTTAATGACTTGTGACAGATTTAAAGGCAGACTCCAAATGTTTATTGCTTGAATCGCGTCCCATGGAATGCCTTGTTTATTGCGATCATTGACTGAAAAAAAGTCCTTTTTGCACTATTTACATAGGCAGGTATTGGGCGTGCTCTAAAAGAAGCAGCTTAATAATGAATTTTATCACTAGTGGGCTTACGTGAATGAAGAGGAAAAGAGCACCTGGTCCGCTTTCCACATCCCCAACCTTGCAAGCTCAACTGCCAGCCTAGTAACTATGGCCGTTATGTCCGCAGCGATAACAGCCGGGAGCGTCTGTTCCTTTGCTGATCTGAAAGGTTTGTTGCCAGCTGCCTGTACAGTCGCATCTATCGCGATTTCAGGTCATTCGCAAGTGCTGCGGTTGCGGACAGGGGAGGTACTGGTATGGGTTAGGGTAAAATTGGGTAATATCGGACGGGTAACTTCAAGCCATCGTAACATGAAGGTTGTCATTTTTATGTAACTGGGAGTCATTTAAATATATGTAGAAAGCCCAAAACTTTTTTTAGAAAGTCTGCTGAGGTTCCGGTGTTGCGTTGGAGCGCAGCGATTTTTTAAAGAAAAAAAAGTTACTTGGGTATTATCGGACAGCAGCAGCAAATTACGGACGGGCGTCCAAATGGATCCCAAAGAGTCTTGATATTGATATTGGTCCCCGAGTTATGCGTTGGCTTCTTGCTCTTTCGAACGCCACCTTCCGCGTGTCGCTCCGTGGCCCAGGAGCCGAGTTAGAAGAGGGGGAGGGGGTTTCAAACACCTCCCCCATAGGGTAATATCGGATGGGTGTCCGATAATAGCAAACACGTAGGCCGTTCAAAATGCGCCAAAATGGGAGCAACAAACACATTGAACACAGATAGTTGGCCCAAAATCGATAACAAAAATGTTCAAGTAAGTGGAAAAGGTACAACTTGGCAGTTACAACTTCTTTATCTCTGCGATAACAGGTAATTAATAAGTTGTATGGATGGAAGGACAAATGGTGATTAACGTAAAAAAATTATGACAGCCTAGCGGCAAACTGCCTACGAGAGGAGGAGGTGACAAAGGAAATCCAGCGCTACCTTTTTTCCAAATAAAATATTTGCGCATGCACCTGGGGGAGAGTTCAGAAGATAACTGCCTGTCCGATATTACCTACTGGCCGATATTACCCAACTTTCCCCTACTCACCTTACAGGATAGCGCGCTGAGTGTGCTGGACTGCTCTGTTCTCTGTCCCCACTGCTGGTCAGTGGTCATGTCAGGAATGATGCGTCAGGGCTCACTCAATGTCAGTGATAGCAGATCACGTCATACGTAACACTTGAGCGGATCGTTCAATATGACACGGAACTATCATGTTTTGAGTCAGACGTGCTCTTCCTGAGTATGTCACGTCCTGATATTGCAAAGATAGCTGTCACCAGTACAGTGACCGGGGAGGACGGAACTGATACGGACCTGTTTTGAGCGTTCCTGTGCTGGGTTACACCGTGTCGATAACTTCAGTTGCCGGGTACGCTCTGGCCGTGTCACTGCGGCGGGAGAGTGGTAGGCACTAGGCAGTCAGCGCGGCGGTAGGATACTGCGGGATGGCCATCGCTCTACGCTGGTGAACGGGCGCGGCCGGACCAGTCTCGAGCAGAGGTATCGATGATCGGTGTCTCACTGGTGTATCGGTGTTGGAGCGAGCGAGGGAGTGCGGCTTTGGAAAAGCGTCGGTATGTACGCAGACTTCATTTATTCGACGTCGTCAGCCTCGGCCTAACCAAGTGCGAGTCATGTGATGTGTACATGTGACGATTGATATTTAATATTGACTTCATTTTTTTTTCAGGTACACCTTTGTCTTTCTTACGCCTTTGGAGAATGTCTGAAGCGCTAATGTCGAATGCTGTGAAATTTTCTTGTAGTCATGGCGCTTGAAATGACAAAGAGCCTCATCCGCTCCTGTGTTGTTTCTTCGAAGAAAGGACTGACAGTGCGTCAGCTGGAGCGTGAGTACCGACCGCCGAACCTATCAGAGTCACAATATTGGGGAAATAAGGCCCTTTGCTGGTCCCAGTCGGGTCCAAACGATTTTGTTCTCCTTAACAAATTTATACTCCGGCACCTGACATTTCTTAAAGTTCCAGCCAATGTGATGAAAAACTGCTATTGTTACGCCTAAAACATGCAGTTAAAGCATTGAGAGAATACATTTTATCACCTGTTACATTTATTAGGCCAAACATATGATTTTCCTGTTCAGTGTTCTTAGTTCTACAAGCTGGCCGGTTCTCCGGACAGATTTTATTCTCCGGGACCAGGACCAAAATTAACAATTTCAGAGATCATAATAATGGCCTGAGAGTTTCCGAAAGTATCCGAGAGTATCCAAGGCTTCGCTTTGCACCTTTCCCTCTATAGTTGTCACTTGTCGTTAGAACATATCTAGGGTGTATTCCCGTGCATTAGCTCACCTTTGCAACATTGCATTGTCATGTTAACCCGCGCATGACCGGTATTTTCCATAACGCGAGTGACAGAGGCCCCCCCCCCCTTCTCCCTCCTATCTCTGAACTACTGAACTGATGGTCAAAATTCAAACGGAATTCAATAGCCTTGGAAAACTGTTGAGCGAAACCTAATTTTATTGCCGTCTTGGTCACCGATGACGTTACAGGTCAGGTCAAAGTAAAAACTATCAACATTTTGGCTTGTTTTCAATCTGGGCTCAAGCCGCTGACCCTGAGGGTACCGAACATGTACTTCGATTTTTTCAGGTGAAGTCTAGGTCATCGAAGGTCATGGAAATTTTATATCATGCATCGGTCACGTGAGACATGTTTTATGGTCCATTTCGGTCATAGATTTTGGTATCATTGTTGTCTGTGTCATCTGAGGCCATTTTCAATTTTCAAATGCCATTGCCAAATTCAAAATGCCTAGGCAGTTTACAAACTGCCTGACCCACCAGGCATTTTGCAAACTGCCTGAAATTATTTTCCTAAGGCAGTTTGTGAAATGCCTGACATCGAACGCACACCAGGGATGATGACTAAGCATCATTGTAACTGCCATTTAACCCGTGCCATGGTGGGGTCTGTTTATAACGCGACCTGGTGGGGGGGGACTATTTTTTGCCCCCCCCCCCCTCATATCTCCGAATCGACTGGACGGATCCACAAAATTCAAACGGCGCTCGAAAGCCCTGTCAAATTTGTAGAGGGAAATCCAATTTCATTGACCTCGGGGTCGCCGATGACGTCACAGGATAAGTCAAAGATAAAGTGTTTTGCCGGTCACGGGTCTTCTAGGGAATGGGCGAGTAAAACGCATTTTATCGAAAATCAGCGATAGGGTGTCAGTTGCCTAGTTACAGTACATATGTTGCTATAAGAGGTCACTGATAATACCAGGTCAGGTCACAGGTCAGGTCACCAAGGGTCAGCACATGAACCCAATTTTACTAGGATGTTTTATGGCCAATTTTTCATTTAAAACTCAATGCTGTTGGTTATAAGAGCATCAGGAATGGTTTAGGTCACTTCCTGGTGGAGGTCAGGTCATTGTCAGGTCAAAAAGGTCAAATTTCAAAGCTGATATTTTTGCATAAAATGGATATCGATTCCATGCAGCTCGTCACGGCGAGTCTAATGGTGGTCTTTGTTTTGCGCTACCCGGTCTAGAATTGCTGAAAGTTTAGCTGGAAAATTGATCATCAATTTTGAAGTTTTTTCGCTATAACTTGGCCAAAAAAAACAGGTACCTATCGCTCTAACATTTGGCATGTGAATAGAAGTCAGTAGGGGCTATCACGTATATTCGTTTTTTTTTAAGAAAATAAAAAAAACTTTTTTTCGGATTTTTTGGTTTATATTCAATTTTTTTTGGGGGGAGGGGTTAAAAATTCGAAAAATTTAAATGTTTTGTAGCACTGGTAATTCTACACCTTTCATGTCTTGAACGTTTTTATGTATCTTCAAAGCTATAGGCCTGACAGCTCCCCCAGCTCTTCCAGCTCTTCCCGTTTCTTGGGTCGTAAACGGTAGAACATGACGTCACTCTGACGTCATTTGCGGCCGACCTATGGTGGTTATGAAATGTTTATTCGTGCACAAGGTGTCAAACTGATCAGCCGAAGGTACCTACTTAACCCTCGCCGGCCGAGGGGGGGGGCGGGTGCCGCCCCCCCCCCATAGGTTTTTTTTCGCGATAGCTCCGAACACGCTGGCGATAGAGAGCTGGAACTTGGCATACGTGACCTTCGATCCAAGCCGCATCTTTTGACACCAACCGCATTTTTGGGTCAGGTCAGGTCACTGACCTATGACGTCATAAGTGAACCTCTGCACGGTCTTCAGATGTCGCAACTTCGCAACGCCCTCACTGCCAGAGGAGATGTCACAGGGAAATGAAACTTGCAGGATCTAGTATCCATTATGAGTCTCACAACTTGTATATCTCGGATTTTTCCTAAAGGTCATATGAGGTCAGGTCATTTTCGTGACCTCACCATTAGGGGAGAGTGGCCATATTGCGCCACGTTAAGCGAAAATGGCTTCAGCTTGGAATACAAAGACAGCACAGGTTAGTTCTTTTCACATTATATTTAGAAACCTTTTTCCTACCTTTTTTGGACACTAATTTATCGCATACTTCAACTCATTAGCCAGACACGGTCTTTTTAGAAAGTGTTGCAAAGGGCGCAATTGTCGAATACCTTCGATAAATGCGCCCACACCATGGCGCAATTGAATTCAAATGCGCCCACCGCAAATACATGCATTAGCTATGGGCTGTAAAGATAAGAGTGGTAAGTAGGTAATGCGTTGTATGATGTTTCATTATTTCATTAATTTACGATATGTTTTTTAGAAATTTTATTAGAAGTGCACAGTGACCTCAAATTGCTTGTGGTTTTGTCATCTGCTAAGCCTTTCGAATATTAGCCATAATTATTAATGTTACCCATTTCATTAACATTAGCCCGGGTGTGGCGCATTTACCCCGGTCGCATTTGAAAAAACGTAGTGGTGTGACAGAACATGGCGTCCCTATTCACCGCAGCCACAATCTCTTGCTGGGAGGTGTTCAAATCATTCGAAATTAACCATCTGTCCGAAAAATTAGCAGTACATGTGTCAAAACATTCACTAAACCTTATTCTACAGCTTTGAAGAATGCTTTTTTCGCTAAGAAACCCCAACATTTAAACAAACTTAAGCTCATGCTGCCTCACCTCTGCCAAGGCTCCACCGGAAAAGGAAGTATGATCGAGGTGGGCAACTTTTGCAACCACCACTAGGTACTTATGGTGTGCCAATTTTTCTGGAGCTTGGGAGGGCGCATTTATCTCGCGGGCGCAATTAGGGTACTCTCCCCTATACACGTAAGTCAATGGGGAAAAATGAAAACTGCTATTCTGGCGCCGGGAACGATCTCCAACTATCTCAAGCACACAGAATCGTGATTTGATGCACTCCTTGCAAGGTTAGATGCGTCACTTTTGCAATGTTGACCTTCCGTGACGTCATTTATGACGTCATCAAGGTCATATTAGTTTTTCGTCAATAACTCCCGATCAAATTGAGCTAGCGAGTCGAGAAAGCCACCAATGGACTCAGGAAGACCTGCCGAATCGAATGATATGTGACATGACCTCTTTCGACCAACTTCGTGACCTGGGGGTGCTGACCTGACCTTGACCTGAGGTCAACACCCTAAGTTGACCTGACCCGAACAAAAAGTATGTCATTCGACGCGCCCGAGCGGGGCCAACACGATGCTGCCAAAATCGCGGCTCTGCGGCCGTTTTTTGCGAAGTTATTCACCAAAAACTGAACCGTACCCTGGGGCACTTGACCTGACCTCAGAGGTCACCGGTTGACCTAGGACCTTAAAATCGGATACCAATCTCTCCGTCTCGTAACGGCGCACACGCTCGTTTTTTTCCGCGACGCGCTAGCTCCACCAGGGGCGAAACGGCGAGGGGGGTCGTACCCGCCCCCCCCCCCCCTCGGCCGGCGCGTATGTAGAAAACCAATAGGTCCGGCGAGGGTTAAAGTTTGTTTTTGTTGATACGTTTAGCGGTTAGAAGATATTGCAGAAAAAAATGGGAGGGGCTCCCATTTTTAGAGCTCCCTCCCCCCCCCCCCCACACACACACACACTCCAGTCATGCGCGGGTTAACCCGCGCCCCGTTTGGCTTTTGGCGGACCCTGCCACCCCTTGTGGGCCGTTTTGGCCTCTCCCTCGGGATGTCGGGAAGTTACCGACCGATTTTCAAAATTTAGGTACACGGCATTCGATAGGCCCACAGGTGTACTACCATGTGACCCAATGTCATTGACCCAGGTGCAACGGATGACGTCACAGGTCAGGTCAAAGGTCGCATTTTCAACGTTTACAGGCCTTCTAAGGAATGCGTTATAACATTTAATAAAAGGCATATTATTGAAAATCATTGATGAAGCGTTCTTTGTCTAATACGTATGTTGCTGAATGAGGTCACTGATACCAGGTGAGATCAGAGGTCAGGTCAATCAAGGTCACAATATGAACCCAACTATATGTACTAGGGGCGTGTGATGTGGTATGTGGTATGTGGTATGGGTGACCTAAGGTCAAGTCAATTTTGTGACCTCTCTGTTATAAGTTAATGGCAGAAAATTGAAATGCTTGTCTTTTGGCCGAAAATACCCTCAAACATCGAGACACAGGTGAACATGACACACTGAACCGGAAAATTTCACCTGTGTTTTGATGCCCCTGAGGTCATATCAGGTGAAACGTCTCAAACAGTTTTTGACTATAAATTTAGCTAGGAACATGCTAGAGCGCTAAAACACCATGAATGTGTTCAGCTCGACAATACGAATCGAATGACATGCAACATGACCTTTTCTGTGACCTTGATCGAACGTCAAATTTTTTAAGCTTTTCCAGGTCTACCTATAGTTCATTTGATGCATCTCTACGAGACAAACGCGATGCCGGTGAAATCAGCGTAATACAAGCTCGGAGTCAAAAGTTATTACAGAAAAAATATTTTCCGCAAAACGTCCAATTTTGAGAGTAGCTGCCCTCTGCAGGCTAAACCGTTGGCCTTAAATCAAATCTGAGAACAATACTTAGAAAGGCCTTTAAAAGAGCTATCGAATGCGCTCTTCCGCGGCGCTGTAGCTCTATTGGTTCCCGACTTATGCGCCGTTTTGTGAATAGCTGTCAAAATCGGGAACAAAACGCCAAGATAATTTTACCTCTGGTAGCCTCCAGTGACCTCAGCGAATAGGTACCTGATCGATAAAAATGACCTCTATAATTCTGAAAGACGAGCTATCTATTGCTTTTCACCGCGTCTTTCTAGCTTGCTTCATTTCCAATAGCGTGGTTCGGCCCCTCAGCGGGGCGTGGTTTAACTACTGTTTGTATGGCATTGACCATGTGCTTTGGCGGTTTTATGGCATTGTTTTGTGTATTTATTGACTGCAGAATGCATTGCATATGAAATACTTATATGAAAAGAACTTGTTGAAAATTGTTAGTAATCGTGAAAGCTTATTTTCAATTTTATTTTAGTTATCCAAGTAGATCGCCAACAGGCTGCACGGCCCATACAGACGAGTTTTTTTCAAACCGGACATACACAATACACACACACACACACAAGAAAGACACGCACCCGAATGCACGCAAGCCCTCTTCACATGATAATAAAATAATATTGAGACATTAAAAACTCAATGAAAAACTCAATATAAAAATGATAATAAATAATGACACGGATCTAAAAAGCGCTAAAAGTATCTTAAGGGAAATCCATCTCGGGACATCTGGCGAGAAAATCTTTTGCTTGGGCCTCTATTCTATTGAAAGTACCCTTCCTTACCGTCGAGACACGGGTAAAGGGCACGTGAAATAACTGGACGTTCCATGTCTGACGACGTGGTATACCGGGTGGCCCAGAAAAAACGTTCCGAACTTTGGAGGCCTATATATCAAATTCGAGTACAAATAACGAGCCAAAATTTTCATCAAGTTTGCTTCATTTCTTTGCGCATTGGTATGCCAAATTATAACACTATACCATCATTTTTAAGCTGGGAATCTTGAGTTGAGTTAACCCGCGCCCCGTAGGGCTACCGGCGGACCCTACCACCCGTAGGGGGGGGCCGTTTCGGCCCCCCCCCCTAAGATCTCGGAAAGTTACCGGCCGATTTTCAAAATTCAAACGGCGTTCGATAGCCCCACCCGGGAACTACCTTGTGACCAAATTTCATTGACCTAGGTCAAACCGATGACGTCACAGGTCAGGTCAAAGGTCAGATTTTCACCGTTCACAGGCAATTCAAGAAATGTGCTGTGAAAGCGAGTAAATTGGTAATTTATTGAAAACCATCGATGGTACATTGTTCGTCAAACACATACTTTGCTATCTGAGATCACTGATACCAGGTCAGGTCACAGCGAGGTCAGGTCACCGGGGGTCACAATATGAATGTGTCAAGTGATACATGTTTTATGGTCCATTTTACATGACAAATGCGATTATGTGGGTTAGGCAGCCTTTGGGGCCAGCCTAGGTCACGTTTTTGTGAAGGTCAGGTCAAGGTCAGGTCAAATTAGGTCAAATTTCAAAGTTGATATTTTTGCATAAAATGGGTATCGATTCGATGCAGCTCGTCACGGGGAGTCTAATGGTGGTCTTCGTTTTGCTCTACGAGTTCTAGAATTGCCAAAAATTGAGTTTGAAAATTTGACGTCATCATTTTTGAACAGTTTTTTCGCTATAACTTGGCCAAAAAACGAGGTATCGATCTGAAATTTGGTATGTAGATAGAAGACGGTAGGCACTATCACATATATTCCGGTTTTTTTCGAAACTCAAAAAACTTTTTGGATTTTTTTGCGAATATATCCAAAAAAATGCTTTTTTGATTTTTGGGGGACAAAACTCAAAAATTTCAAAAATTCGAGATAGCAGTTTTGTAGCCCTGTCAATTCTACACCTTTTACGTCTTGATCATTTTTCTTTATCTTCAAAGCTGTAGTCCTGACAGGTCTTCTCGCGAAGGTCTTTTTTCGGTCGAAAATGACAGAACATGACGTCACTCTGACGTCATTTGTGGCCAACTTATCATAGCCTCTGGAAAAATTTTTGGTCACAATGTGTAAAATTGATGCCCAGAGGGGTCCTGAAAGTTTGGTGGCGATATCTCCAGCCGTTTAGGAGATATCGACCGAAAAGGACAGGGGGGGGCCGTTTCGGCCCCCCCCCCCCCTACGGGGCGCGGGTTAAGCAAGACGTTTTTGCTTTTTTTTGCCGACGTCAAACGATAGTGATGATAGGGTTAGACGTCCCATGTTATAAAAAAGAATAAAAAATAGAGCACGTGAATGAAACCAACACGTATGTTCTTATTTTAAATATTTTTGTCTCACTTATGTGCCAAATATTCAAATACTGAGCCAAAATGGTGCTCATGGATGCCATTCGTTTCAACACCAAATCATGTTTCGAGCAGGAGTGGCACGGTGCATGGATTACTGCTGATTACCCTCCTTTCAGTAGATCAAACAGTAAATCGACCGGATAAGGAAAACAAACAAAATCAGACTGGTTCCTGTGCCAGAAGGCCACAGAATAGCTTATGAAAAACAACATTGCCAGCAGATGACAAAAAAAACTGGTTGAAAAGCTACCTTTTCCCAGGAATGTCAGCCAGGAAAGCATTTGAGCCACAAGATGGTTAGAAAACTGGGAACTTCTTCCGATGCCTCTGGCACAGAGTCATCGTTGTTGCCTGAGGGAATGTCATCCTGAGACCCGAACCATCAATGAGACTAGCTGCCAGTAGAAGTCATGGCTCTAGGCCGCGGTGCCGCGGGGTGAAAGTGACCCGTTCACTCACATTTTTTAGTAAGCATCGGAGCAAAAAAGTAATTTTTACATGGCATGCTTGAAACACGAACCGTTTAAAAAGTAATTTACCGAACACCATGAAAATCGCACCATTTACTGAAAATGTGTGCCGCATTGACTATTCGAAGTTTCAATGTTGTGTCTTTATCACTTTCTGAGAAATATTGATTTAAAGTTGGGAACATTTTTTCTGGGCCACCCGGTATGTTGTAGTAGACAGTAGTATAAAGTTGATTCCTCAGTTATATTTATGTATTAACAGACCAAAACACGTTTGTAGCGCGAACGAGGCTTGTGAAAAGGACGAGTCGATCCGCCCAGGCCAGAGCAGATGTTTTTTTCAGAACTTTAAGTGTAAACTACTCGTGACTGAGACCGAACTTCGCGAAAAGGCTATTCCTGAAAGGGGATAGGAGAATCTATCACAAATCACAGTTTGCATTTTATGGGATTGTTTCGAGAACATGCTTTACCAGCTGTTTTTCTGTTTTAGTAATTAAATGTATATCTAGGGTTGCAAGTACCTATATACATTTGTACAATGAGATCACGTAGTCTTGGGCTGGAAGTTATGTACAGGTGTCCGTAGAAGTAGTCGTAGAAGTCGGTAGTCTTTAGCCGTGCATGTGGAAGTACGGGATTAACGCTTCATATTTTGGAATTAATTCCGAAGGGCTATGTGTGCCATAAGAATGCAAATTACTACTTGCGCAATTATTTATATTGTTGAAGTCTGTTTCTTAGCAATGTTTTTTATATAAGAAGAAACTAATCTTAGTGGATTCCAGGCGATTTCGAGGACCTGGTGGGGTCACGAATACCATTTCAAGAGCATGGGTATCCGAGTTTGGATCTGTTTCTTCGCGCCATTCCGGACACTGTTCGGGTAAGAGAATCGATGCGATTTTATCGCTGAGACTACGCTGCTTCTCTGTTCTGCTTTACTTTACAACTAACAGCTCGCCATCGTATGTCCTTCGGTTATCTATTCGCAACTGGTGTAGGGGTTTTCTCAACGGGACATGCTTATTTATGGCACGGTGACTATAGATAATTTATGGTACATGGGCATAACATAACCTTGGATATAACTACCTGCCGGGACTCGGGTTTCAGCCAATTTTGTCATCGTGGTGAGCATTTTGTGAACACCCAATGATTTGACAGCTACCGAAAATGAAAAAAGGTAAGAAAATAGCTCTCAACAAACTCTTTCAAAAGAAGTTTGTCCATTTTTTCATGTAGATCAGGAACAGGTAGATAATTATTATTTAGGTCAGCGAAGGTCATCGAATCACAGTTTGTCATTTCCCAACTGACGCCCACATCCGACACCGTAACTTAGAAAGCTGAGGGTGCAGAAACATCGATTCTCATCAAACGACCTATCTGCACTCTGTCAATTGAATTGACGTCGGATCCACCGTTCGGCCTAAAGAGATCAAGGAATGTAACAAATGTTCCTTTTTTTCTTGGAGAAATGACATGATTTTTAGATAATGTCCTTTTTGCGATAGCTGTTTATGTGGTTGCTTTCGTGAAAAATTGTGACCATTGCATTCCTCTCAATGAATCAAGTGGAACTGTATGGGCATAATATGACCTGATTGGTCAACTTAAATGATGAATCTCTGGTCAAGGTCGTGACCTGGCCCAAATGGCTCATTTGCATGAAGTTAAGTGAATGTATTTTTAACCGCAAGTTAGTAGAGAGAAATATCAGGCCCGTTTAAACGCTTTTAACCCTCGCCCGTACATGCCATTTTCCCATCCTAGAACGCACATGGGGGGGGGGTTGCCACCCCACCCCCCGCGCCATTCCGTTCCTGTTGGAGATAAGAGCTTTGCGGTAAAGACCAAGAAGATTCTTTGGGAAGAGACGAATCCAATGATACCCAGTTTTACCTTCTCAGGTCAGCCATTGACCTTCCAGGTCAGGTCAAACTAAAACATGTTGCTGTTTTGGGTCACCGTTGGATATCAAGTGCGCTGCTTATCATATACCGATGACGATGCCGTTTTATGGTGCCAGGCCAGCTAGAACCTCTTTGTCACACTACCCGACCAGGTTTTCGCTGCTGAGCTCATTTCAGGTCAAGTTAGGTCAAGGTCAATGATATGTGTTTGTATGTCTGTGTGTGTCTGTGTGTATACTGATGTGTGCACCGATTGTTTATGTGTCCACATTACATGAAATCATGATCTGAGAAGCTTTTACCAAAAATGCAGTCAGAAAACTTCACGAAAAGTAAATTCAGTTTGCATAAAGCGCAATTATTTTAGATGACCTAGGTTGACCTTGACCCTGACCTTGACATCTATACATCGTCGAACAACATGTTCCATGATAGGTGGGAGGTAAGACTGGCAAAAAAGGCCGAAATCAAGGTGTCAAAAGCTCACAAGGCCCATAGCCAACGCAAGGTGTTGAGCAAAAAAACAAGGTCATATCTCCGAAGCCAAATACCTTAGAAACTTGACATTTTCAGTGGACATCAAGAAAGGATAGAGGAGCAGCTATACGAAAAATCAAGCCTCTGGCTCTAAAAATGTTGAGTGCAGAGCAGAAAGACTACCTGGGGGGGGGGGGGGGTGGCAACCTCCCTCCCATGTGCGGGCGAGGGTTAAGAAACATAGGTATATTTTCACAACCGAACATTTGCTAGCTAGCCGGTTCTACCTGGGCATTGATTACTTGAGATGTATGCGGGTGACTGTCACGGCACGTGTCACACCTCTAATCAGGAACGTCGATTTTGTTCTTGTAAAAACTTCATGAGGACTGCGCCGATAGCGCTGACTCTTAGCTTACCGGTGAGCGGCCAACGGGTAGTGAGTTTTTGCGTGCCTCGGTTTGGGTGCTAACTATTCATTGGATAATGGCTCGAGGGATGGCTCGCACAAGTCGATGGGAGTCTCATTTTGCACGGGTGTATGTGCAGAAGCGGCCTCTAAATCTTGAGCATTGCTGGACTGATTGCAGTTGTACACCGTTGGGTGGTTTGACAAGCTAGGTGATCTTTGTGCTTGCTAGCTCGTCGTCCAAAAATGTGTTTCCCAAATATTTTTTTTTTTTTTAATCAAAGAAAATTGATAATACCTTCGGTTGTAGATATACCTGCAATCTGCATGTTAATTGTTATGGAACATACCCAAACATTTGCTCTTCAGTTCACCGTTTTGAATTATGAATGATTCATTTCAAACGCATTGTGTCATTTTACGAAAATACTTCCTTGTCTTTGCTTTTTAGCTTCTGGCAACTTAACTGCTTTAGTTCGCATCAGATGCGCTTTGGCTCCTGGGCTGCAGGTAAACTAACAGTTCGCTTACCTGTATCTCTGAGAGAAAGGAGGCTTTGCGTATTTCCATCGACGGGAAACTCAAGTGCGTTCCTTATGAGCGGTAGCCTTATCGATTGTCTGTTGCAGCTCTTTGTCGTTTGCCGTTCTATACACCGTGCTGACTATTGCTGTTCTCGGCCGACTCATCCTGTGCCCGTTTCTTGGCTATCGCTTCGCTGTCATTCGAGTGGATCTCCTTGCCGCCGTAGAGACCCGGGTCTCCAGTTAATTTCTGCTGCTGCGACTGTCCCGACTGGGGATGTTAGTCGTCTATCTGTGCTGCATTGGTGATTTATTTGCGACCATTGGCTGGTGGACAGACATTAGATGAGTTGCACTGAGTTGCTGCCTCTGTTTGCGCGGAACCGTTCGCCGTCTTACCCCTGCCTTTCCGCGCAGCTGACGGAGCTCGGTAGGGAGACTCTGGTGGAGCACGTTCATGACGCCAGCGTGGCCCGGATCGCCTCTCTGGTCAGCAGACAGAAGGGGACGCCCAAGAAAGGCACGGCGGCCAAACTCGGCAAGATACCGAGAATCAACCCTCGACCAGAACCAGGTTGGATGGTGCACTCAGGCCGAGACTTCGTAACGAGCTTATGCATTGAGACGAGGCTTAAGTTCTGTCACCTATGTGCATCACTGTGTCTCAGCATGTAACTAAGCAGCAACACATATACCTAAATGAAATACATATCCAGCGATTCAGGCAGAAAACAATCTTCAGGCTTGCAGCTTTTGTTCTTCTTAAGGTCACGTAGCACTTTGCAAAACGGGCTACCTACATATATGCATTTTATTGTACCTTCCTACTGTGTTTTATCGTAACCCTTTTGTATGTCTCAGCAATTTTTTTTCTGTCAATGACTAATGAGACAGCAGCGCTAACCGTTTGTGTTCCCAGCGCCGCGGACGCACAATCTCCAGTCAGGAGGGGCTCCGTCCAAGACCATTCCTGCAACTACCCACTACAGTCAAAGGTGCGACGCGCGTGAGGCTTGGTGACTGATGAAAACCATGCTTGGCTATCGACGAGTTCAGGTTTCTATGCGCTTTTATCTACTAAAAATGTGTGTCCACTTGCTACTTGATATTTGTTGGACCTCAAGTGTACCTACTTAAATGCTTTCACTGTATTTACCTGATTCATGTACCCGGTAACTTCTCCCATTTTAAACGTTTTGCGATCAGCGATAATTGGTAAGTTTATGTTATACAAAAAAGATTATTTTGAATATCATAGTAACGTGAAGGATGACTGGTTCTATAAAATTCTCCATTTAGGCATATTTTATTTTATTTTATTTTTATTTTTCGACTAGAGGTACAGGTTTATGCAATAACTGTATGTTTTGATATGTATGATTAACGGATGCATTAGTTTGGGTGTAGAAACTTGCATTTTTATTGGTATTATTTGTGTAGAACTGGGTAACTGCTTTTAATTGAACTGTAAAGTATGATGGTGATGCATGCGAGTTGTTCGAGCCCTTTGTAAGTTAGGATGTTACTCAATGCAGCCCTACCCTACCCTACCCTACCCTACCCCTACCCCTACCCCGACACTACCCTAACCTACCCTACCCTACCCTAACCTACCCTACCCTACACTACCCTACCCTACCCATCCCTACCCCTACCCTAACCTACCCTACCCTACACTACCCTACCCTACCCTACCCCAACCCTACCATACAACACTACCCTAACCTACCCTACCCTACCATACACTACCCTACCCTACCCATACCCTACCTTAACCTACCCTACCCTACCCTACCCTACCCTACCCCTACACTACCCTACCCTACTCTACCCTATCCTACTATACCCTACCCTACCTTACCCTACCCTACCCCTACACTACCCTAACCTACCCTACTTTACCCTACCCTACCCCAACCCTACCCTACAACACTACCCTAACCTACCCTACCTTACCATACACTACCCTACCCTACCCATCCCTACCCCTACCCTACCCTACCCTACCCTACCCTACCCTACACTACCACCGACAGTCCAAGTTTCAGCTAAATCGGCTCAGAAACGGCTGAGATATTGCAAAAACAAATTTATCGTATTTACTGGCGAATCCCCTTGGCGAGGGTGCCCGGCGCCGGTATTCGTTGTCAAAGGTCAAATACCTTCCGGCTCTGATTATTTCCAGTCAGAACAACTGAGCCTAAAGCACGTGCCCTCTGCTCGGCGCCGGTCGCGGCCCCATCACGTGCACACCGCTGAACCCACCCCCTCAAGAATTTGATACGACAAATGAGTGCACGCGCTCGACTTGGCGTGAAAATTTCACCTCCGTAGCCCTCACCGTTCCCGAGCAATAGCCTGTTTTTGCCGATTCTAATGCTAACCCTATGGCGCACATGAGCACGCGCCACGGGCGCACCCCCGGCCGCATCGTGCCCAAAATTTAATACGACCTGTTCATTTACGTGACCCACGAGTGGTAAAATTTTCACCATCCTGCGTCAATCGACGGCGCCGCAATAAGCCTTTTTGGGAGTAACCCCGACGGCGGCGTGGGCGGCGTGGGCGGCGGACTTTTTAAGATTTATAATAGTAGATATAATAGTAGATTGAGTGTGTAATCCAGCACATCCTATCGATTATGCAGATGGTGTGTGCGCTCATATACTCTCCTCCATGCACTCATACTGACATTACCGTCAACATGTCCGTTAACCACAACAGACACATGTCCGCCCCCCGTTTGGGGAGTGACGGGCCACAGCGTCTGAGCGCTGGTCTGCTGTCCGCAGCTCGTCTCAGCCGGGTCAGAGCGGCGGTGGAATCAGCGGCGGTGTGCCGCAGTCGGGAGGGACGCCGGCCGACCCCCGCAGCACCGGGGTCACTATGGAGGTGAGGTGGACGGGCGGATCAACCCCCCCCCCCCCGTGCCGCACATATGTTAGTCGGGTGCTGCACGGGTAGGCAAATCGCTCTGATATCGTACCTAGAGGTCACTGATACCGTTAGGGGGGGGGGGGGATATCAGTGGCCTCGTCCCGATATCATGCAAGAATGATGCACGGCTGTGGTATCGTTCAGGGCAGGTAAACTGCTTCGATAACGTGCCAGGTACTCATCCGGCCTCTAAAATGCTTGAGCTACAAGGTGATGTTGCCGTTGTTGGCGATGCTGCTTGTTGCACACAGCACATGAAGAATATGGGGAATGCTTTTCTGCCATGGCTGGAGCTAATGGCGCTGGTTGTCGTCCCATAACAATTGCAGTTGCTATAGATTTGGTGTTGGCGAGACGCGGAACTCATGGACCCTGGTACCATTATGTCGGCTGAGCTAGACACAGTAACGTAACAGTCACAGTACCTACCAGAATATGAGTGCATGGGGGCTTTGGTGTATTTGATGTAGAAAGACTTGTGTGGAAGCTGGAACGCATGTGTGTATAGCGATTAACGACACGTAACTACATCATGCATTTAGCAATACCATCCCCACTCAGTGCATGCTGGATATGTTCCGTTTAATAAAACTTTCGAGCATATTTTGCATGAGTTGTGTCTGTACACATCGCGCTTTGTTCATGTCTGCCCGTAATTTGTCCCAGCCACTGGCCCACCCACCACCTCCGAACGTTAACAGGGGCAGAGAGCTTTCAGGCAGTGCGATATGTGTGACTTATCGTCAGATATCTCGAGGTGATTCGTCAACACTCGGGCTGATGCATGCTCTGAGTTGCCTGTCTCACATACATCAGTTTGATGATCGGTTCAAGGATGCCGCAATGCGTCATGATGCCGAGCACAAATCATTCTTTGTTCTTTTGTAACAGGAACAAATTGTTCGCAGTTCCCAGTTGACGTCTAGTTTTAGCGTGCTACTCACTAGTGCGTGTATTTTACATGGAGCTTTACATGCAATGTATCACATAATGATATCGAAAAATTTTAATTGCAATTTTGTATAGCACGTACAGCAGGTTCATCGAGCTCATGGAGGCTTAGATTAGATAACATACATAAAGATTGGTATCATCGAGATTCGAGGATGGCTGTGATATGAACTTCGTTGGTATTTGCTTTGTTCGCTCGTCCAATCTCTCATATAAGCGCTAAGGCAAGCGTGACTTCTACGACGTTCTCAATCTTAAATGAGTCAGGAAATTTTGTCGAACTTAACTCGAAATATAATAGGTTAATAATTCTTGGGGTGACAGATGTTTGTCATTGGCCACTTTGCAGAAGTCTCCGCGAACGGCAGGTAGCAGCGCCGAATCCGAGGGCAGCCGTTCTCTATCGACAGCCGCCCCCTCGATGAGGCAGGCGCCCGCGCTCTGCACGCGGCACCGGCCGCCGGACGTGTGCCGCCGCCCCTCCTGTGACGCCCTCCACATCTGCCGGCTGTACGTGGACGGGTTCTGCCCGCATGGTGACGCCGCCTGCCGCTGGGGTCACAAGGTGCTCTCAGCTGGCAACGAGGCGGCGCTGGCAGCTCACCAGCTGCAGGCGCTGCCCGAGCGCGAGCTGCTCTGGCTGGTGCGCGCCCTGATGCGCCAGACAGCTCCAGTCCCCGCCGAGGAGTACCGTAGCCAGCTGGCCATCTGCCCAGAGTACGCGGTCGACGCGCGCTGTCGGCGATCCGACTGTTTCCAGCTGCACCTGTGTCCGCGGCTGGCGGCCGGCGAGTGCGGCGCCGGCGACTCCTGCCGCTGGAGCCACCGGCTCACCGACCCGGACAACGTCATGGTGCTGCTGCGGCTGCGCTGCTCCGAGCTCAGCGAGGCGGAGGTACTCGCCCGGCTGGCGCCACCAGCGAGCGTGCCAGACGGCGGCGTGCCTGAAACGAACGGCGTGGGAATGAGTGATTGTCTCAATGGGCAAAAATCGACCGAAAGCACTGGAAGCAGCGACATGATATCAACAGTAAGCAGCCGTAGCAGCGCAAAACGAGTCGTTGCGAGCGTACCCAACACATGCCAGGAGCGACCACAAGAGGACAAGGGGTCTGGGGACCTAAAGGAGCTGGCGCAGAGACTCGACTTGTGTGCACTCAACATCTTTCCATCTTTCTGTCCAGGAAACTGCGACAAGGTGCATCTCTGTCGATTTTTCTTGGCGGAGATGTGTCCTTTCGGTGTTGACTGTAAAAGTCCTCACAAGCTGCGTAGCTCTCCTCACAACTCTGAACTTCTCAGAAGGAGCGGGCTGCAAGGTTTGACGGAGGAGGAACTGCTCGACGCCATCAGGGCGGGCTATCTCGCCCAAAATCCGATCACCGACCTGGAGCGTCGCTTTGCTCTTCAAGTGTGCTTTCCGTACCAGGACAAGAAATGTGAGGAAGGCTGTCCTCGTCTTCACGTTTGCAGTCAATATGTGAGTGGAACCTGCACAAACGGGAGTAAATGTGGGCTATCTCACAATCTTGTGACGGCTTCTAACGCGGCTATCATACGGCGCGTGGGACTAAGCTCCGCATCCCACCCAGACTTGCTTGATTTTCTGGCAAACAGACCAACCATCAAAGATGTGTGGCGGAGTTTTGCTCTGTTGAGTCCTCCCATCGCTCCGTCAGACACCAAAAACGACTCATCAGGGGCCACGCTGCCTGGAGACTTAAACTTGTGTCATTACAATATCAATCCTTCTCGCTGCATGACCAACTGCGGTCAGCTGCATCTGTGTCGCTTGTTTGTCGCGGGAGTATGTCCATTTGGAAAGGCATGCAGAAGTGGGCATGCACTGTTAGGTTCTCCGCACAATGCTTCCGTGCTTAAAGGACGAGGACTGGAAGAGCTGTCCGAGGAAGAGGTGTATGATGCCATTAAGTCGGGATATCTCTCTCGAAACCCAATCACGGATCTAGAGCACAGTTTCGCACTGCAGATATGTCGTGCATACGCAGGTGACGATAGTGAATGTGCGGACACAAGCTGCTTGCGCTTGCACATTTGTGCTGGGTATGTGGCCGGAACTTGCGCGAACGGTAGTGGGTGTGGGATGTCCCATCAGCTCAGGTCTGGCAACAATCTCGTTATCCTCAAACGAGTGGGGCTAAATCTAATACCTCACAAGGAGCTCCTGGAGCTGTTGCAGAACCCGCCTGTGGCCAAAGATGTTTGGCAGAGCCTTTTCTGTAGTGGCACATTGACGACCGACTCCAACGAAACTGCCTCCGCACTGGAGCCGAACAAGCCTGTCCCGACAACGACGACGACGACGACCAGTCCCGCTCTCAGTGTCGCTGATGACGCTCCGACGTTGTGCGCGGTGCACTCCTCCGGGGGTCGCTGCCAGCGCGACGACTGTGACGAGTTCCACGTCTGCGGCTTCTACCTGGCCGACCTGTGTCGCCGGCCGGACAGCACCTGTCCACTGGGGCACAGTTTCGACACGGCACGCAACCGACGCGTGCTGGAGCGCTGGGCACTGGAGGGCGAGTCTCCAGAGCGCTGTCTGGAGATGATCAACAAGATGTCGCAGCGAGCGCACATCACGTTCCCAAACGGCGCTGAGAAGAGCGTGCGCATGTGCATCCCGTACAACTCAAGAACTGGTTGCAGCACCGATTGTGGCCAGTTCCACGTGTGTCACCGCTTCCTGGCGGGCACTTGCAAGGGATCGAGCGTGTGTCCTCTGCGGCACGCGTTCGATGGGCGACACAATCAGAACTTGCGAGACTCTCTTGGTCTGGTGGCGACCGTGGGGCTGGATGGCTCCTTGTCTCCGGTGACCGACCGGGAGCTGACCGAGTTGCTGCGGGCTCGACTCGGTGTCGCCCCCGGGTTGTACTCAAATCTCACTGAGAACACACCTGCGCGCGGCGGCTCTGAGCCCCCCGTGTCGCCGCCGGCCGTGTGCCGCAGTCTGGGCGCCGGCCGGCGCTGTACGGACGCCGCCTGCCCCGCCGTCCACGTGTGCCCGCACTTCCTGGCGGGCGCGTGCCGCCGGCAGCGCTGCCCGCTCGGCCACGGGCTGGACACCGAGCCGAACCGGCGCGCACTGCGGCTGACCGGCCGTGAGGTGACCGAGCACAACCATGACGCGCTGGTCAAGGAGCTGTACAAGGCAGCTAGAAACGTCAGGAGGTCCGAGGTCTATGGCAAATTGCGGATCTGCATCTCCCATAACCGTGAAACAGGATGTAGTGGTCAAGACTGTGCAAAGGTACACATCTGCCAAAAGTTCGTGGCTGGATCATGCGAAGAAGCTTCTTGCGACTTGGGCCACGTGGTGGGCACACCAGCCAATAGGAAAAGGCTCTGTGCTCTGGGCCTGCAAGACGCTGAGGTGGAAGATGTTCTGGAGATGCTGCGCGCAGTTCATGGTGTGCGCTCAGCCTACACGGTGTAACAGGTGCCGTCTCCCGATAGATCATCAAGAACAGCTCTTAAGGTCGACCAATTCTCATTCAATCAATCTAGTTAACTGAAATTTTGGTGATATCTGTAGCCGTTTACAATTACAATGTCTGCTGGTGATCATAACATTTGTCAATGCCGGTCGACAACAAATTTTGTGGCAGAACCGAGAACGTTCGGATATTGCATTGAGCATGCAAAATGTATGTTATTTCACCGAAGACTGAGGAACCACTACAATTTGGAATAGTACTATATACCCAGTGGGCGTTTACATTTATTCGAGATGAAAAGTTCCAGCGAGGCTGCTTAAAATTATCTTGAAAATCGTGAGCATCGCTGTTTATCCTTGTTTCTTGTCTTTACGGTTGTCTTGCCATGAGATGGAGTGACTTCGCTCGGCTGTAGTGTACGAGGTGTGACCAAAAAGAAACGAGACTGTGTCCGCTGGGGACACGGTTCAGCATCTAAACACCGATTACATATGCCATAGTGATGCGGAGCATTTCAGCACCATATGAGCGAAGTTTTGATTTTTCTGGCCCAATGTCCTTCTTTACAGAGGTGTGTCTCCAACCCCCCTGCAGTGCCCCGTGTCATGTGCTCTTGCATGTCCTCAATCTCTTCAAAAAGTGATCCCTTGAGGACACCCTTGGTGTTCAGGAACAGCCAGAAGTCACATAGTGTTAGATCTGGCGAGTACGGGTGATGTTTCACTCTGGGTTCCATTGTGGGCTGCCCTCCGGCTGCTCCAAGACTTCGGTGTTACGTCCACACAGCGAGCCTTTTGATCATGGGAGAAAACTTTGGGCACCCTCTTCACGCAAATCTTCGTGCCCAAATCCACCGTCAGGATGGTACTCACCGACTCTGTTCCCATTCATAGCCCCTCATCCAGCATGCTTACTGTCCGTCTGCGATCGTTGTGCATCAGGGTCGTGGATGTTTTCTTCATTTCTGGATGTTGTGGGACGTCATGGCTTCGGGTCATCCTCCACATCATCTCGTTCACTCGCAAACCTTTTGTGTCACTCGAACACTCGTGCAGGAGACAGTGTCTCGTCTCCATACACATAATTTGACATTGGAAGTGTTTCTGTAGCAATTTTCCCCAGTTTCACTGAAAACTTGATGATTGTCCCGTCTGTGCAGAACCCATATTGTGACACGGGGCACTGCACGGGTTTAGAGAAACGACCGTGGAATGAAAGACAATGGGTCAGAAAAATCGAAACTTCGTTCATATGGTGCTGAAATGCTCCGCATCACTATGGTATAGGTAATCGGTGTGTAGATGCTGAACCGTGTCCCCAGCGGACACAGTCTCGTTTCTTTTTGGTCACACCTCGTATGATCTCTTTTGAAAGCATCGCTACTCGAAAGTATCCCTCTCGCTCCCTGGTTTGAGGGCGCCTAGCTTCTTAGGGCTGGCCGCTTGGCCGGCCCGTGAAACCGTGAAAACGATACGGGCCGGCCAAGTGGCCTACCCTCAAAAGCCAGGGGCTCTCAAACTAGCGAGCGATAGCGGTACTTTCGAGCAGCAATATTTTTTAAGAGAGACTATGCATGTGGTGTGTAGACAGCTTTCTCTCCTTATCTTTTCCCTGATTTCGCTTAGATATGCGAAGAGAGGATGCGTGAGCTCACGCTCAGTTATGTGGATATTGTTTACTCGAAGCTTTCTGCGGTTCGCGGTAATGTTATGTTCTCGCGCTGTGGTGGATGATTTGAACAATCATTGCAGATTCGCGCTTTATCTGTGATCAAGGCTGTTTTTAAAAGCTGATTTTGATGTGATGTTGACCGTGATCTCTTAAGTCAGGAATTTGCGTTGAGAGGAATCGGTCTTCAAAACATCGGTGAGGTATCTTGATCACTCATCGCCAGATCAAGCCTCAGGTAGTAGATAGATCGGGGGCACTTCGATAGTGCAGCTCGGGTGGCTATCTCCTTGTGTTTGGTATCACTCACGTGTCCATGTGTCGTGGAGTTTGTGCCAGTTTGCTCGGAAATAGTCCTGCTCGTCTGGATGTGGATCGGCTGTGGTTGATGGGAAAATTATGAAAACCTAGTGTTATCCATTGTCAAAGTTGTGATAAAAGATCGTCTGTGATTCGATGAGGCTGCCTTTTGATCCATGCGGATCCGTGGAATGGTGTTCGATGATGGCCGTGTGGATTGGTTACATGGAGCGTGGTACCAATACAGACTTCCATAGTACTTAGCAGCCATGTGTTTGTGCCAGGTGTGTTTCATCTCGTAGTGTCACTCCAGGGAATAAGCGAGCACCCCTTTTGCTCTGTTCACATCGGCCTGTATCATTTCGTTTTCTTGAGATACACCGTCACCAAGCAAGATTCCTTTGTCACAAAATTTAGAAAGTTTAACTTACACCACTCTCGGGCGTTATGCCTTTTTCACATAGGTACCTCAAGCCATACCTTCCAACCGTCCCTTTACCAGTTATCAAAAACAAACGGCCGATAGAGGGCACCTCCTTCAACATCAACATGAGATCGTGCTTCGTAGGCTAGCGTCACCTAGAGCTGACAGCTTAGGAAGACGTAGGGAATAGGGAAAGCGGGGGAACACCGCTCCCCCCCCCCTCCCCTAAGCTTTTCGCCTAAGTGAGAGAATACTTGTGAAGTATCTTGGTAGTTATTGTCTTGGTCACAATACTTATGCATTTTCTCACGTGTTAACCCTATTCCGGGCGGGGGGGGGGGGCCTTTAAGGCCCCCTTCAGGTTTTTCTTGTGCCATTGCCAAACGCCGCAAGACTGAAAGCTCATACTCGGTGACTTTTTCTAAACATTCATTGCGCACATTTTGACAAAAAAAAAGTTGCCGGGTCAGGTCAGGTCAGGTCACCAGAGGCGGTTTAGTGACACCACCTCAGACAAGTTTGCAATCACGCCAGAGCTAGAGTTTTTGACGGATCAATTTTTTCTCTTCGGGTTTTAGTAAGGGTACCAGCATGTGCAATTTGTATGTCTCAGAATTTTTATATCTGTGACCTGAGGTCAGGCCAGACTCGTGACCTTTACATTGCAAGCCTATGGGAAAATATTGAAACGCCTCCTGCTTCGTGTAAACGAGTCAAAACCACCCAATTCTTTCAGTATTATGGAAGATTATCTCATCGGTGATGATCCTGGTGCCGCTAATTGACAGGGGCACCGGGAAAGGTCATTTAAGGTCATGTGACGTCATAAATCGTTTTTCTGATAATAAATCACGACATGATGGTGCTAAAGACTTGTAAGTGGTACCAAACTGCTCCCCTGGTCAAGGCGCGTCGTTTGGTATGCAGCATGACCATAACCCACAACCTCATTGATAAAGGACCTGACCTTGACCTCGGGTCAAATTTCAAATTGACCTGTGAAGGTCATCGCATACTTACGTAGGGTGAATGAAAAGTTTTGAGCCTAACATAGTTACAGGTGACGCAGATTAATGAAACTTTGGTCACATATTTTGCCACTATTGATATGGGTGGACACCAAATTGTGAAGTCCTAGCACTTTTTTCCTCACCTTTTTAGCGCCTTGAATCATGCTATTTTGGGTAAGTGCTCGCGGTGTCAATGACGTCATTATTTTTTGTGAAGCGTCATCTAGTCAGTTTTTTCTCTAGGTTTAGAAAGAAATAGACACCCTAAGGATACCAATGCTGGTTAAAAGATTAAATTTGTTATTTGGGATACATTGGAAGACTCAGTAATTGATTGTTTACATTGCAACCAGTGAAAAATACCCTGATTTATTGTCCTGGTGAAACACGACCAATTTTGTCAGCATTGCCCTTCTGATCTTCCTGATTTTCTAACAAAGGTGTATCAGTGGTTCATCCTAGTAATGCCCAATTACAGTAAGACCCTTTGAAAAGAAGTGCACTTGCAAGACATCTCATTTATTTTCCCAATTACGGAACGCTTTCCTCCTTGTTGTGACTCTGACATTTAATTTTTCAGATTAGAGTAGAATCGTTCTTTTACTGACTCCACTGTTCTTCCCATGCTGGATTGAAGTGAAACACCCACAGTTTATCATCGGTAGCGAAAAGTGACTTTGAATTCTCAGAATCTGCTTCAACTAGCGCAAAATGTCATTACACATCTCTCGTCGTGCTCTGCAGCAAAAAGCCGAGAGGCCCAATGAGCAGAGACCTTTCTCATGCCATGCCCATTGGTAAGAATGTCGCCAGATTGCTCCTGGGAGATGTCCATTCTTACCGCTATTCTGATGAGCTCACAGTCTTGGATCCAGCATCCGCACCCCTAGAGCAGGGTCAATGTTTTCGGATTTTGTCACATTCTACGGCGTTTTTGATATTTGTTCATTTTGGACGCTGTTCCTGTCCTGCTTGAAATTAGAAGCTCAAACCTTAACAGTGCCATATGATGGGCCACAACCAATAAGTTTAATTTCAGGTCCTTTTTAATTTCAGATGAAGGCATGGCTTTGAAATCGCAATACTTTATAAAAGCTCGGTTCTCGATTTTCTCCCTTTTCACCGGACGCGTAATCTTCTTCACTTTAACGGGCTCTAAAAACGAAACGGAAAGGACTAGGACTTCAAAACTTGGTGTACACACCTAAAAATATATGGCAAAATGTGTGACCAAATTTTCATTAATCTGCGTCACCTGTAACTGTGTTAGGCTCAAAACTCTTCATTCACCCCACGTATTTCGCATCGCCTCGACGAGAGCAACAAAAAATGCATTAATTTTATGTCTCTATGTTTCTTAGTTTAACCCGCGCGGGGCTGGGGTCTCCAGCCGAACGCGCGGGGCTGGGGGGGGGGGTAAATTTTACCCCCCCCCCCCCCTGTTATCTCCCGAACTAATGGTCCGATTTGGAAAAATCAAACGCCAATCGAAAGATCTCATCACGAACCACTAAAAACATGTACTTAATTTAAAGTTTGAGGTCAAGGTCAAGGTCAGGTCAAGGGTACAAATTGCAAGTTTCTACAGTATCGGCCTTGCACCGTAGTTGCCGAAGAATGGAGTCATCGACTGAGACTGATTGCCCAAAACGTGTTCTTAGGCTACCAAGACAATATTCGTTGCATACAATATTATTCAGAGGTCAAGGTCAAGGTCAGGTCAGGTCAGGTCACCAAAAAACAAAATACAGAAAAGGGCATGTGCGACACATGTTTTATGGGTCATTTTACTCATAGAATTCAGTAGGCACACTCAATAAGTGATATGGACCACCTCTGGATGAATTTCAGGTCGAGGTCAGGTCAAGGTCAGGTCAAGTGAGGTCAAATTTTGAAGTTGGTTGTTAAGGCCTAAAAAGGTGTCTATCTGATGCAGTTTTTCACGGCGAATCGAATGGTGCTATTTTTGTTTCAGTACGAGGTCTAGAACATCCAAAAAAAAATCATTTTTCAAATTTTTTTGTGTGTCGTGATGTCATAAAATCTTGAATAACTCCCACATTTTTGAACCGATTCTTCTAAAAATTGGTATGTAGGTGCACATAGACCACTTCTCTGACATATATTCCGGTTTTTTCGATACACTCAAAATTTTGGATTATATAATTATTTTCCCAAAAAAAGTCAGTTTTTTGAAAAAATTTGGTCCAAAATCCAAAATTTTCAAAAAACCGAGATAGCCATTTGATAGACAAAATAGAATTACGTATAACCTTTTTGTTACGTCTTGATTCCTTTAAAAATGAAGATGTTAGCGGCGTTTGAAATTTTGCCGTTTTTGAGGCGAAAATGGCGAACATGACGTCACTTAAACGTCAATTTCTCAAAAATTTTCCGACAGATTTCGCTCAAATTTTCAGGGAACGTGTCAAATTGATGTAAGAAAAGGTGCTGAAAGTTTGGCGGCGCTGCGCGCCGCCGTTTTTGAGATATTGCAAAAATTCGCGAGGGGGGGTAAAATTTACCCCCCCAGCCCCGCGCGGGTTAAAAGTTATTTAGGTAACTAATTCCAAAACATTTTATCGTTGATGACCTTTGGTGACCTCAATATTGACCTGACCTGAAAATGTTTTAAGTAAAATTGTAGATCTTTAAACGACCTATCAAACGCCGTTTGCCGTTTGTCGCTGCGATGTGTAGTTTTTGAGATCTGAAGGGGGGCCGAAAAGGCCCCCCCCCCCGCCCAGAATCGAACCTTTCAGAGCCCGCCCGGAATAGGGTTAAGTTAAGGGTGCAACTTACTTTGCATGCTGCTAAAAGGTTTCCGTGCATCTGCATTACGACTTTTAAAAATACCTTGCATATTTGCCACCAACAAAATGTGTGGGTAACCCCGCCTCTGGTGTTGATGTTAACCCATGACCCATCCCCACGAGAGCTTTTCAATTTTTCATTGCTCAGAGATCGCGTGCGATGAGTTTCCTGTCGGTAAATGGTAATTCGTAAACAATCGGTAATTGATACCTAAACAGGTAGGTATAGGTTCACCAGCTGTATGCCTACAGTATGCCAGTTTTAAGAATAAAGTAAAAAATCAAATAAGCTGTTCATTCCTGACTTGGGATCATCTACGAACATAAAAAATCCGTGTCTTTGGAACAGAATGTACTAGACGATTGAAGCAACCCTTTCTTCCTGGACTAAGCCGATCAGTAATTTTTTCAATTTTCGATGTAATCAAGCAAATCAAAATGAGTCTCTACTTAAAGACATTCAAAAGTGCTCCCGACTCATCGAATTTTGATAAGAGAGTGTGCATTTTTCTTTAAATGTCCACATTGAGCTTCAATTAGGTACACTGAAACTTCGGAACGCAAATAAGAAGACGCTTACCTTTGTGCTGTTAATAGCAATTAATACATACTTTACGGTGCGTTCACTGGAGATTAACCGTGCGTTAATTCGAAGGTAGCCGTGCACCAATTTAAATTGGTGCACGCGCGTGCATGGATGAATTTCTCGACTGAAGTTTTTCGGAAGGGTCATTGACTTTATTCTAAGAATTCCCACAAAAGGCCCATTTAGTATCATGGATTAAGTTTACTTTAATTTAAATTCGCACCGTTAAGCATGTATTAATTAGTTTAACACATGGTTTCTGTGCATAAATGGTTTTAACGCACTCGTTGATGGAATGGAGCACTTGCGCGTTAATGCACTCGTTTCACTCGTGCATTAACACACTCGTGCTCCAATCCATCCACGTCGTGCGTTAAAACCATTTACACACGGGAAACCATGTGTTAATATATAATAACGGATTTTTACACTT